CAGCAGGAAGCTTCTGTTTCTGATCCAGCTGGTTCTGTCTTGTGGGACTTTAAATGTTCTCCCCACCACCCAAAAGTGTGCCTGTTGAATAGCTGGAGACTGTGAACTGATTCTAGGAGAGTGTGAGCATGTATGGCTGTCGGGTTCTGTGGGCCCGCTGATGATGGGGGTGCTGTACGTTTCTGTTGGTATTATGTCTGTTGTCGGATCTTGGACGGGTTGCGTTGATACCGAATTTATTTCAACAGGATTAAAAAAGTATCTATTCATTCATTCATAAACTGATCACCTGTCAAGGTGTTCCCCACCTTTTGGCCATCAATAGCTGGAATAGGCTCTAATGCCCACGTCCCTGTACTGAAATAAGTAGATGTAGAAAATGGATGGATGGAATCTGTAATATGGATGTATTAGAACTATAATACCAAGAGAAAATAAATGTTAGAATGACCAAATACAATCTTTTTGATGCCATTTATATGTGCAGAAAATGAGCATATTCTTTCTAATACTTTTAAAGTTTCTAGAAAATATATCCAAAACCAGCTTGTTGCTTTAAATCTGTTAGTTAAAGGAGAATTTGGCACCAGGGTAAGCCTAACACTAACCCCCCTTCAGTCCCAAGTGGCTCCTGTAGTGTACATCTTTACATAATACAGCAACAATAACATCACACAGGAAATATAAAATAATGCAGACATGGTGAAAGATGCCTGTCTTTTTTTCATCATGATGCACTTCTGTGAGCTCAAAGAGAAGAAATGATGGTGGGTCAGAGTTAGTCACAGCTTTGGATTTGTTTATTTAGAATGAAAAATGTCAGCTTGAGTTCAGTAAAAGATGGTTTCTCCATCAGGTGGATTACAGGGAAGGGCAGGAGGAACACTGATGGTGTAAAAATATGAGGGGGGCTCTGCTTTGTTTAGAGAATACAATCAGCTTTCATCAACACAAACTCAGGTAGCAAAATCCTTGTCGGAAAAACATTCACGTTCCCAGTCAGTACAGTATTAACATTAGTGTCTTTATACTGTAAAGATCCATTCAGATTACACGTTTTCTCTCAGTCCTTTGCAAACAGAACCAGGATGAAACCTACAGCCACACATGAGTCTGTAGACGGACAAAGTCCCATTCAGTCACTTCAGAAACACCTGCTTCATAAACCCATCACATTATTCAGTAATATCAGTGATCAGGTTAGCATCCCACATGCAATTACGATAAACATGTTTGCATGGTTAACTTGAGCTGTTGATGTTTCTTTTGCATGAACAAGTCATCCCAAAATAAATGCATAGTAGGAAAATATGCTTACAGCAGATAATCAGATTAAGGTAATAGTTTAATAAAGCCCTTACATGGATGAAAGCTCCTCTCAATGATGGGAATCTACAATGAAAACAATTTCTGAGAGCATAACTATGGTAGAATTCCATAAGATGCATTAAAGGGATGTTCTTAAATTTAGTTTGGAGGACAAAAAAAAGAGAATGGATGGAGTTAAAAGCTACTTGGAAGAGGCTTCAAGTCCAATTCATATCAGAGCAGAGGAAATCAAAGGAACTGAGTGTAGCTCCCGCTTTTAATCCAACAGGCCTTCTCATGCTAAGGTGACTGCTCTGGATCTGGATCTGGATCTGTGCACCTTGTTGTCTTTGCTTTGACCCTTGCACATGATTCGGTTCCTTATTTTCTTTTTAATATTAGCTTAGCTGTTTAATATTAGCAATATGGTGGATCCTTTTCTTTGAGGCTCCAATCCATGTCCAATCTGATGCCATCATGAGTCTTTTTAAAGATGTATTTTTCAGTTTTAGCATTTCTGTCCTATATTTTTATTCCTACATTTTATTTCTTGCTTCTCATAGAATGGTTGTGTTGTGCACCAAACACCAAGGCAAATTCCTTGTAAGTCTAAAAACCTACTTGGCAATAAACCTTATTCTGATTCTGATTCTGAATGTTTGAATGTCTAAGTGGGTTAAAAATACTTATTTTGGGGGGTTTTCCCATCAAGGTTGGGCTGGAGTCCCTGGGCTGAGGGAGTGCAGCCTACTGTACCAAATACCATTACTCTATATATTTCATCTAGATTAAAGCTTGCTTTGACACATGTACATTTAATCTAACTCATTTGGCCCAGATCTCAGCTAAGCAGTTTATTCCTATGGCTGCATAGCATAGAGCATATTTTCACTGATAAAGGCTAAGCACAGCAGACGATCTGCTCTTTGTTTTGGATGCTACACCAACACTTGCTGAACACATTGCACATATTATTTTGGGCTTCTTAGAAAGATCAAATTGATTCCAGTAAAATCTATGTGATTAACAAATCTTTAGGAAAATCTAGCCCCACATTACTGAAAAAAGCCTGCTGTGAATGACCCAAACTGCACTCAGAGACATAAAAGTGATCCACAGCTGTGTCTGAGTTTCCCTCTGAGCCATTCAGGTGATGTTTAAACACGGAGAGATGCAGCGTGTCAAAGCAAATGAAGCTTTAAATGATTTAGTATCCTCTCTGCCTTCCTTGTGGACTTATCCAGATGTTTGCTCATGCCCTCCGAGACACATTAAAGTGTGCACAGTGAATAAGTTGCTGGGGTTTAGCCAGTAATTTCAGTTCATGTCAGGAAGAGCTTCACATCTGAATATTTTATTTGAACTATTTCATTAATTCCATCAGAATTGATCAAATTACCTTAAAACAGGAGTCTTTGGCTAAATTCACAATAAGGAAATAAGTAAAGCAACATCTAGTACAGGAAATCTGATATGTGTATGAGCACCTGCAGTGAACACCTCTGAAAGGCCATTTGAGTTAAGCCCATTCATTTTCCTTGAAAAAATTGATGATCATTATGCACTTACTGGTTAATTTTTGTCTTCTAAAATATTGCCCTAAAGGTGTACATTTTGTGCATGTGTGCTGTAACACAGGGGTGGGCCTGAGCGGGAACATTTGGACTTACAGAACCCCACAAAAGAGAGAAAACTGGTGTTTGCCAGCACATGGTGCAGAGGTCCCTGAGGGTGTCTGGACTGGTGCAACTTTAGAAAAAAGAGGAGAAGATCATGGCTTCATTAGAGGGGAACATGACAGGAAACTCCCTCTTGTTGTTCCTAGAACTGGTTGTCCATCAGCTGTAAACATAAGAAAGGTTTACACATCCGTTTTCTCATGTCTCGTAGGAAATAGTACTGTTTATGAAAGTTTTAAAAATTCCGAAAGCATAACAATAATAATTGACTTCTACACTGCTTTTGCAGCCACTATGTCATACTTCTAGAATCTCTTATTCCTGTATCATAAACATGGATGTGTGGTAGCTCATTTGCCTTGCGACCACATTTTAGATTTAATCTGTGCAGAATAAAGCGCTTACCTGTGTTTCCACATCTAAACAGTCATACGGTTCTTTCAAAGAACTTCTTTGAGCACAATCAGAAAAACAGCGATAACAGACACAGAGAAGCTCTGCACGTACTGTTTTCACACAGATGAATTATTGTCCCATCAGATTCGTGTAAACAAGTATTTTGCATCATATTCAGGAAACAGAATCCGGTGGAAACAAAAAGTCAAAGAGATGATTAGAAAATGGGTCTTAATTGAAATAAGTGCTTTAGTATAACAGCTTGTTAGCAACAGCAGTGAATGACAATGAAGCACGGTAACCAATCACCTGATTCATGTCTAAAAATAACACTAAGCAGTCATTTCAATTTGACAATGACACGTCCCTAATTTTCTTCACACCGCCTTTAAAACAGCCGGAAAGAAAATGTAGTCGAACTCAGTGGGAAAACAAAGTTGAATTAGGTAGTGCAGGATAGACCGGATTTACAAGGGAAGAGACATGATGTCACCATAAACCAACATAGACCTCCACCATGAAACCCCATAAACCTCCAGATCCAGCACGAACCGCCAACCTTAACATCATGAGCCATGTTGAGCCTTCATGAACCAGCTGGCAGCCTTTGTCCTCATGACTCCAGACAACACTTACGGAGAATCTGTGGCTTTTCTCCGAGTTTGATCCATATGGCGATGGTGGCTTGAGTTGGTGGGGTGAAGTAAAGTCCTCTACTCTTTTAGGAGCAGGCAGGAAACTGTCTGGGTGAGCCGGCCAGAGCAGGAGGATGTTCCTCCTCACAGAGCAGTGGCCTCCCAGCCGGTGCCCCGCGGGGCCTGGCGTCACTTGGTCTCTGCCAGCATGGGGGCGGTGACAGCCGAAGGGTGGGGTCGGCTCAGGTCCAGCCCCGTGGGGGGGGAAGCCAGACTGCAGGGAGTGATGGGGGTCGGGATGCCTGAAAACAGAGGGCAGGTCATCAGGCGGTTCTGAGTGGTCAGGTACCCTATTGCAGAATATTTGCCATTAAATCAGTCCCAGGCGTTAAGCTACCCGAGCTACGTTTATTCATTTATTCTCACTGGCACTTGCTGCACAGCAATTTTCATTGTGATAAATAAGATATTTTGAAACTGGAATCAGGCGCTTGTATTCTACCACCTCTCAGGACTATGTGACAGCTCTTTGAAGTTAATGTGATCGTAACTGTCCCTGTTTCTCGTTGGCCATGGTTGGTGTTATTTCCCGGCACAGCAGTGGGGAGAGCGGCTGGTTTTCACCCCTCCCCAACTCTAACTGAGACTGTAGACCTGAGAGCCAGGAGCTAAGCTGAAACCCGGCACTTTAAACCTTTGCTGCTCAGACGTTTGCCTGTTGGCTCTAAACTCACTCATTAAGCACCATCTCCAGAGTGGGATCTTTACACAGCCCAGTAAACGCCACTTCTGACAGAGATGGCCGTTTCCTGCTGCCCAACAATCAGGACTCACATTCCTTGCAGGGAGCTGCGGTGTTGTTGTCGATGGGGGAGTTTTTGCTGGTACTGCTCTGCACCACATGGCCGTGGTTTAGGCTCTGAGCGTTTTGCTTCTGGCCCCCCTGGTTCTGGCTCAGGACCAACCTCTGGTTCTGGTTCTGCCTTGCGGATGGGCTTGAGGAGTCTATGCTGCCGGCCATGCTGCTGCCCAGCTGCAGCCGCCTCATGTGCCGGACCACGGCGGTGGCATTGAAGGCTTGCTGCAGAGAACACAGACAGTTGAGCAACTGTGATAGAATAAAGGATCTGCTTCAGTGGAGCCAAAGCCAGGAAAACAATCACCCTCCATTTGCTCTTTGCAAAGTTCTTCCTCATCTGCCGACTGACTGACTCATGAATGTTCTTGCAGAGAGCTGTATCCCCAGCAATCCTAAAACACACAGACACAGACTGGGTGGTACCACTTCACAGGGCATTCATCTTCTCTGATTCCCTGCCTGTGTCTCACCAGGGGTGTTTGAGGGCCTGCTCACAGGTGAACCTCTTGGCCGGGTCTTTTTCCATCAGCCAGCTGATGAAATCCTTAGCTGAGAGGAAAACACCAAAAATATGTTACTACACAGAACAGGACCTTTACTAGGATGTTTCAGAGGATCAGCAGAGAGCGAGCACCTCTGAGCTTGTTTAGCTCAGAGTGTAACCTAAGAGGAAAATGACATTGGACAAAACACCAGATTAGCACTGTGGTGTTCAGGCTTTGCTCTTTGGTCAGGTTGATTTCTTCGTGGTGAATCACTATTCAGTTCTTACAGTTATCTGTGTGGACGATAAGGCTCACCTGAGTCTGAAATGTCGTCCCAGTATGGAGCGTCAAACTCGTAATCAGCTTTCAGTATCTGTTCGAACAGCTTCGAGTCATTTTCATCGTAGAACGGAGGATAACCACACAGCCTGCAGAGCAGAGACTCTGTCAGTCTTTCATTGGTAATTCAGAGGAGGTCAACTGTCCATGTTTACAATTCACCCTTATATACACAGTCTGTTATAGCGTGAAGCACTTTGCTCATTTAAACCATTTCCAAAAATATCCGCACATTAAGTCGGACCCGGACTAGTCAGTTTAAGGTTGTTTCTCATCTGTCATGTATTTAAAAAACATATGTCTGATTATGATTTCAACATCTGACATGTTTTTTATTTACATTCACTGTCTGAAGCTTGTGTCGGATCCTTTTTAATGAGCCTACTGAACCAAAGTCAGAACCAGAAACATTATCATGAACGGAGTTTCATTAAAATGCCGTTCCCCATCAATACACACCGAACAACAGGAAGAGAAGAAAGACCCAGCAGGAAAGACAGGAGCAGCCTTCCCGCTGAGAGGAAAGAAAACCCTTTTTCAGCCAAACGTCCTGCCACTCTGTTCCCCCTTCAGCTCTCTCTCTCTCTCTCTCTCTCTCTCTCTCTCTCTCTCTCTCTCTCTCTCTCTCACACACACACACACGCACGTACATGCTGGGATAACGGTGAACACCACTGAGGATCCTGAGTGATTATCATGGCTGATTACCTGATGTGATCCTTCCACCTGAGCAGCAGCTAAAAAGTTAACAAGCTCTGAATCCCGGCACTAATTGTGCTAACTTCCCACTGAGAACTGTCTGTATCAGCATCTCTGCATGTTTGAGTCAAACAACCATCTTCAGCTGGTCGCTGTTCTCTGGTTCTTATGGACCATCAGCATCATCTCAGACTTCAATAGATCATGTATAATAGGTCCTGCCAATATTTGTTTTTATATAATTACTGTTATTTATTATAAGCAATTAGTGGAACTTAGTGCACGTGAAGTGTGACTTGCTAACAAAATGCTTTTCCCTTGAGAGAATTGAGCATTTAAAGTTTCCATGAGTCATTTTCACTGCTCCTGCCAAGCAAAAACCAGTCAAACCTTCCTGCCAAATGTTCACAACAGACTTGTGATTCACTATTTCTTTGAAGTTTAGTACTTCACAGGAGGTCCAAATCTGCATTCCTGCACTCTTCCTATTTCTGTTGCACTTCCTGTACATTTATATGGTGAGAAATTTTTTTGTAAGCTGTAAATCTCCCATTTACTGAGGTTGTCTTTGAGACTGATGGGACTCCTCAAAGCTGATACTTACAAGATGTAGGCAATGACGCCGATGGACCAGCAGTCCACCGCTTTGCTGTATGGTTTCTGAGCGAGAACCTCTGGAGCTGAGAAGACAGACAAGACCTTTAGGAGAAAAATTCCCCCTTATGTTCCTCAGTAAGGCACTAAACAGAAGTACGTAACCCTGAATACGGTCCAACAAAAAACACTTTAAGTAGAAAATGCCACTGTTTGATGAAATCAGAGCAGGAACTATGCAGACTCTCCTGATTACAAACCAGAATCTAAACATTTGTTCCCTGTATTTTCCTTCATGACAGCAAGATAAGCAAGGATCCATTATTGTAGTGAACATCCTCCACATCATTTCAATTCTGAAGTGTTCAATTGTGCATTTGTATTGGAGTCATTCACCAAAAGTTCTAATTTCATTACTACAAAAATCAGAGACATTTTCTGGTAAGCAAAATAAAACCCTTCAACGCTTTCGTGCTATAATGTTCTATTCACTGGTGTGAGTTAGTGCATGCATCATGATTTCTACAAGGCACGTTGTGCTCGGTCAGCCTCAAAGGGGAAAGACTTTCCTGTTATTAGTGCCCGTTACTGCAGGGGCTACAACGTGGCTAAAACTAATACAGTTGTTTAAAAATGCCCCTAAAGCCTTAATGTTCTATCAGTTTATGTGGAAGAAGCACCCTTTTGGGGAGCAGTCAGAATTGGGAGGAGGCTAATGGACTGCTGGGTGAGTTCAGATCATGATGTGCATGTTGGCCCTTTAGCTTTGCTCTACTGTGGAAAGCGTTCAGAATAAAGCAGCCCTCACCCACGTATCCCGGCGTGCCGCAGGCTGTGGACATCACATCGCCACTGCCCTCCATCTTGGACAGACCAAAGTCACTGATCATGATCTTGGATTCATCTTGAGGATTGAAATACAGCAAGTTCTCAGGCTGCAGGAGGTAAGAAACAAATACACTTTCACAAAATGTACAGATGTCTATCAGAGACTAATGGAAGAAAACTCCATCTTTAACCAATGATCAACCTGGTGCCAGCTCACTGCCTGAGGGCCCCGGTCCTGCCGCTTACCTTCAGATCCCGGTGCACGATGCCCATGCTGTGCAGATAGTTTACAGCATCCAGGACCTGCCGGATCAGCGTGCTAGCATCCTTTTCAGTGTAAAATCCCTTTTCCACGATCCGGTCGAATAGTTCTCCTCCAGACACCCTGTATGGCGGGAAGAGAAGTACAACAGAAAGCAAGATGATCTGAAAGAGACTGGGGGCTCTGCTGGGTGGAAAAGTCTGGAAATTTATGAACCATGTTGTGTTGATTTTAAAACCTTGTATATAGAGTGATAAAACACATTTACAGACTAAAGAAATTCCTTCAGGTTCATGGGCGAGCAGAAACTAGAGTTCATATACACATCTCGCCCTTCTGGCAGATTCTTTCAAGAGCTACTTGTTAAACTACATGAAAAATATTTTCCAGGGACCCACAACACAGTCTATACTGGTAGGAGGTGGCATGCCAGTGTGGGTGGATGAAGGGCTCCCTCTGCTGGAGGATTTCCTCTTGGGCTCCAAGTTTGGTATTAGTGCAGGTATGTAAAGCAAATTTGATGCTGTGATTTGTTACTAAGGGAAATCAACACAACTATTTGCACAAAGGTTTCCAAACAGAAATCAGATGTACACCGTCACAGCAACTCATCAGATTAGAGTTTGTGGAAGGCATACTGATGAGTGTTTTAAGAAAAGGGGATCAAAATTAATTGCTAATCCTCCCTTTTTCCCTTTAAAGAGGGCAGCAGCTGGGATTCAGAGGCAGTCGTAATCTGACTGACTGGAAGGGATAAAAAAAATGAAACCAGGCTCCAGGGTTGCATAAGCGTTAAGGAGATCATGGCAATCAGACAGGAACCTCCACACATACGGAGGAGGGGGACATGTGCACCTTCAAAATCACATCAAAATGAAGATTTCTGCAAATATAGCAGAAAGATGCCCACATCTGAAGAAATTAATCTGAGTTCAGAAATCCGAGATCCCATCACAGTTAAAAATCACTGTCCCCTGATTATTGGCTGCTAAATGGTCAGCATCCTACCTGAAGGTCTCAGCTGTACGGCCACAGACGGTGCCTTCACTGTCCAATGCTGCATTCAGTGTCCAGCAGCTACGTGCTGCTAACCCTACCCCTAACGGACACAGGCAAAAAGGCGGGAACATCCCTGGCAATATCTGTTTTCCATAGGAGGAAAAGTTGCATTTGAGTTTAAAATGATTTAATTCTTTCATTCAGATAACTCCCACCTACGATTCTGTACCGATGAGAAACACTGCACCATCCAGAAAACCTGCAGTTTATGACCAGATCTGTGAAAGGTTCTACCATTCTAATGCAAAATGCACCATCAAACTCAGTTGCTTTCTTTTAATTTTCTGAAAGCCATAGAAGAGGTTTTTTCTTTATATTCCAGACACAAAGAGCTTTAAAGCTATGTTGCAGTGGTTGGATTGATTTTGATTCCAGTTTGGACTCGTCTCCTGTCAGGGTTACATAAGACCAGCTGAGATGAAGCACAGTCATTGATCCACCATGCAACAATTATATAGCAATACATTCAAAATCATTTTGCCTAAACACAACTGCAATAAATACTAATGAACCTGAAAAATAAGGTTCTAAAGATTTGACTTTTTGCCTTAGAGATTTGTGACAGTATCAGTCAGTCAGTTGCCAGTTTGTCAGTCTGTTGCTGCTGCTTTCATATTTCAACTTGTATGTCTCTGATTCTGACCGATTCTGTAAAAAAGAAAAAAAAATGGTTGTCTCAAGGTAAGTCAAAGATACAGTTTTTGTTCTGTAAACTATGACAACATGATGTCATTGTAGCAGCCAGTAAGGACCAGATTATTTTTTTACATATTGATTAAAAAAATGTTTACAGTAAAGTTAAAAAAAATCTGTATAGCTTTGGTCACTTGGAAGAAACAATGGCCATATTCCTGTTCTGTTTTTAGCTTTGTTTGCTGAAGGAAAGTGAATAAATATTATGCTTTTTTACTTGTTTCACAGCAGCTTGAAAATAATCTGTTAAATCCTGACAAAGAGTTAGAAATCAGATTCACTCACTTCAGCTCTAAAACTAACATTTCATTTGTTAACAGCTCCATCTGCTACAATAATCAGCGTTTTCCAAACATGTAATAACCCACAGCTGACTGTTAACTATGGAAGCAGAGGCCTGTTCAAGGAACTGATGGCACCTCAAAGTTTAAAATCAGGTGATGGAGACAGAAATAAGGTGTGAGAAGAAAGGAAGGAAAGCAATGGAGTGAAAGAAGCAGAAGACAGATGGTGTGAGACGAAGGTAATGTCAAGATTTTTAATGAGCTGCTGCAGGCTGTTAGAGAACGCTGCACATACCATGAGACAGCCATAACTCTCAACTTTCAGCAACTTTAATGAAACATTGGAGCTGCCGTCATTAATCTTTCTGACAGTCATGGAGGCAGTTATTTCACAGTGAAGTCAGCAGGGATCATCATTTCCTCCCTGTGTTACAAACAGCTGCAAACAGAATACATGTTAACTGCTTTAAGTATGAAAACTTAACAAATTACCCAAACCCTAAGACCTTTTAATATGACCATAAAATCTTCATTAAATGAGTATGAGAAAAAGCCCAAAGATATTGCCTATGTTTATATGTAATAAAAACCAACATAATGTCATATTACACCATTAAATCTGCATAAAAGTCTGCTGTACACATCATGTTGAGGTCTCCAGGAAGGCATTAAAGATGTGCATCCATGATTCACATGGAGCTGGACAAGTCATCCAGTCTAAATCAGGTTAGTTACGGGGCCTGGGTCATTTTACTATGCGCATCTTAATAACGTATTAGGTTTAAATATGTTGACCGGATGCAAAACACAACACATTTCAGAGGTTTATGTTTATTTGACTAAAATTTAAGAATTGAGATGATTTACATATCAGGCTCTGATAGGGTTTGTGTTAAATGAAGGTTAAAGGTTTTATCTACTGACATTCTAATTTTTGAGTTCTATCAGAAAAAAATATGAAAAATAAAGAGTTTGGATTTCCGCTGCTATGAGCACAAACTGCTCTAAGACCCCGCCACCAAGAAATGGCGGAGGTTAGCAGGATGGCGCGGGTTAGGCCGCTGATATGCCAGCAGAGATGGGTCATTTCTCATCAACAGTTGAGGAGGATGCCTCGCGGGTCCAAACCGGAACAAAGCCTCACCTCATTTCAGGACAGATGGTTTGACAGAAGTAAAATAACCTTCCTCATTACCCAGTGCTCTTGGATCTGTGAGCAGATCAGCAGCATCTGTTCTTCTCAACAATGTCTTTTATGTGGTTACTGCCTTTTTATGTCTGCATCCATGTGTTTTCATGCTTTTGTGTAATCTCTAATCAGTATTTTGGTTAATTGTTGCTACTTTGAAGTGCTTTATAAATTCAACTTGCTTGGCTTCATAGGAAAATGTAAAAGTCACTAGAAACAGGGCAGTAAATCCAGTCAGGTGTTAATTCAGGTGAAACATTTCTGAATTTAGCTGTATTATAGGAAGAAGCTAAGCAGTGCATCTGAAAGAAAGCCTTAGTGAGATATTCCAAAAGGTGTTCTTTACTCACAGCTGCATGATCAGGTAGAGGTGGTCAGGACTCTCATAGATGTCCTCTAGCGCCACAATGTTTTCATGCTTGATCCTGCAAAGCAATAACAACAAACCGTCAGGAAGGTTTCTCACTTCTCAAACACACTTTTACTTCTTTTTAAAAGCTGTTTTTCTTATTATGCTTTTACCTGAAATGGTAGCTGCTGACCCTTTACTTGGCCCGATGACCAGTCCAACAGGGATTTGATTGTTTCGGAACCTAACCCATTGATGCTAACCGCATAACTGATTTACAGCTCTACAGTAAAATGAACCTCAAAGTCAGATTTATATGCGGACTGCGCCCATCTAAATAAAAACAACTCTCATCCTGCCAGTGCCTCGTTTCTATGGATGACATTTTTAGTGCAAACACTGTGGGCAGCTGATCTATAGGGACCTGAGGATCTTTGTGGAATGGGTTTCCCCCCCTTAATGCAAGAGATCCAATGCCATGTCAATAGAGATTCCAACCAAGTCACTCCTAAGTTGTGTGTTCATAGGTCGTTTAGAAAAGGGGGATAGGGAAAGGGCTATGTGGCGTAAAAAGAGGACATGCATAACTGTCCCGGTTCCCAGAATCAGTCAACAGGAGTGTGTTCTGTGACTGAACTTACCTTCTAAGCACGGCGATCTCATTTTCAATGCTGCTCTCCTTCCCCTTCAGAGCCTTCTTCGGGATGCACTTCACTGCAAACATGCGGCTGGTGAGTTTCTCCTGGGCCAGGACCACCTCAGAAAAAGCCCCTCTGGCAAGACAAAGGAGGGAAACCTGTAATCTGCCTGGACGTAGTTTGATTTCCTGCCTTCTTATTTACTTTGAAAGGCATCATTTAAAAAAGCATGCCATTGACTGCATGGGGGATTTTAAGCTGAAATGTTTTACGCACATCACAGATTTTACTCTGTTAAAATAATAAATATAGTAATTCTCTGTCCAATGGATTCTCTCCTAATTTGAGACCTTTTGCTCTTGCCAAGCGCCCTCTGTATCAGATGGGTTAGCACCCAGAAAATTCAGTTACAGCGCGTCACAAAGACGAGCATGTTGCTAAATGCAGATGACGTGGTGGGGCTTAATTTGTCTTAACTGGGTATCCTACTCTTGAAACATATCTGCCTCTTTCCTCCATTTCCAGCATTCAGGAATAAGGAAGCTGACACTGGACTTCATCAGTCCTGCTGAATGGAACTGAAATTTACTCCAAGCTGCCAAGGTATCTGACACCCATAACTCTTCTCAGTCTGCTAATTAGCCGTCACCTTTAAATCGTGTTAAAGCCGATTCAACCCATCGTTAATTCTCACAGTTCCTTGTCTGATCTGTTAGTTGGATGTTTTCATCCCTGTGTCTGCAGTAGTTTTGTTGTGTTTTGCCGGTGTATGGTGAAAGTGTATTGTCTTTTGCTTTTTACAACATAAACTTCTTCTTCTGTTGGTTCTGCTGAAAAACCTTCAATATGACGGGTTTTGTTTATTGTTTTATATGTAATATTAATAAACCCCCAAAACGTTTTGAAGTTGGTTAGACCATGTTTGATTTCATCATCTCATCACCTGTGCCTAAAAGATGATTCAGAAACAACTAAGAGATGAGAGAGTACTTCAGGTCATTGGGTCCTAAAGTTATTTATCTACATAATCATATTTCAAAAAGGGCAGTTCACACAAAGCACCAAAGGTTTGTCTCACAAATGTTGTCAACACTTTCTAAGACTGCACTGTTTGTCTAGGGTCCTTTTGCTGACATTGTTTCCCTGTAGAGATGAAGGCCGTTACCTCCTCTGGTCCACATTTGATCCACATATTCACATTCCTCTCCAGATCAGGAGAGGCTTGTCTGCAGAGAGGAATAGTGTTGGCACTGCTGGTCTGTTCCTGCCTCATCAATAATTAGTGGTTTAATCAAACGAAAATTGGTATCCTCTGAATGGGCTTATACACGCATACAAGCACATGGCAGAAAGCCTGATGACAGAGCATGGCTAAGGACAATTACACTGCTCAGTTATCACTGCTCATGCCCCACATCCAAGCATCGAAATACAGACGTCACTATTTCTATGTGCTTTGAATACAGCGTAACGTTGTTCTCCTATTTTAGAAGATAAGACTGACCAAAACTCCACAGATTAAAAAGAGAAGGCTGGTAGAAACAGCAAAAACAGCCTGTCAAATCGATTCCTATGTGTCCCCACAGTTGAACTGAATACGGATCCCTGCTATGATGTCAGACGTGTTCAAAAGGAAATCATTTGTCTTCATGTGGCACACAGGTATGAAACATCTTCATGTTTGTTCAAGGACACTTGAAAGGTGTCCAGCGGAACGTAATCACACAGCTGTTAGACTGGACATTTTTCAGCCGACTGATATTTGTTGCTGGTAGCAGATGATTCAAAGCACTTTACTGTAAAAGCCCCATTAATCCCATCTCCCCAGCATTAATACTGCACTTCCACTAGGCTGACCATAATTTAAACTAGGACTGGCAAAAGACGATATTTGTGTCCACATTGGGAGTCAAGTCGAGCCGTGTGATATGCTGGAAACAGATGTCACTTTATCACTACATCATTTTCTGTATTGGTCAATCTAATGTAGAGAAAAGGTTTGTTCCTGCCGGCAATGTCAAAAGCACTAAAGGTAAGTGGTTCGAATCCATGTCCCACAGGTCACATTTTCAAGGCACTGAACCCAATTTTCCTACCGATGCATTACATGACTTGTAGTGTTCAATGCAATAAGTGGTTAATTGAACCGGAAAACTGCTATATAAATACAGTCCATATCTGTTCAGATAATCAAACAAATCAAGCCATGTCACAACTTACCTGTAAAAGCTGATAGCCTCAGAGCCTTTAGGCTAAAGACAACTACTCAGTGCAATTTGAAACCTGACAGTCTCATTAGGTCATATTTTTCAATGAGCCTCTGGATCCAAACTTTTTAATTGTACTTGTGTGCAAATACAAACTGCCACAGAAAGACAGCTAAAACAAATTCACACTATTTTACAAAGTGTTTCTCCTCTTTTTAGAAGGGAGCTGGTAGAAATTAATCTCAGCACAAATTATAACCAAATCCCCTTCTTTTTTCCCTCTGATCCTAATTATGTTCCCAGAAGCCTGCAGGACAACAGTCTGCACCATTGACGTGTTGTCCTTGAAAACTAGAACCAACCTACAGCTGAACTCCTCATAACAAGCGTTTGTGTCCCAGCAGGCTGTATCCCTTTGTCCCCTCTTGGACAGCAGATGTTGTCAGGACGCTTTAGGATTGCACAACAGCTCTGAGAGCAAATCCTTTGGTCAGGATAATTGACCTGGAGCATCAGTATTGAGTTTCCCCCACACCACCAGCGTTCATTTGTATGCCCCTGTCTCATTGAAGCTCATTGTTGACATCACACAGAGCAGAAATACCTTTATATCATTCACTCCTGTTGTGTATGATAGTGTTAGAATCTCCCACCTGACATTCTAAACGGGAGAAAATCAGTCAGTGACGGCTCTATCAAGCAGAGAAAACAGGCTGTCAGAGGAGGGCCTTCATGAGTTGGATGTGGTTGTGAAGAGGCTTAAAATACAACACTGATCTGATAGTGGACTAAAGTTTCTGATCATTATTACTCAGAGGTCTGGGCACGTGTCAGTCTGTGCTGAGGGAGTCGCACCTCCCCCGCTGCACAGACGTGCATGACGTTTTTAATGACATGGTTTGAATGGGGAGGATATTCATGGAAGCAATTTCTTAGCTTTACATAAAAAGAGGGATAAATTAAGTTCCCCTTAAGTATGAAAGATCTCTAGCTTGTTGTGTTTGAGGGAATCACTGATATGATTTCATCTTATTACATGTGACATTCACTGCGTTCACACACAATGTCCTCTTTATTTTGTTGTGTAAGAACTCCAGGAAAAATATCAAAAGTTGTTAATTCCATCTCAGTTTAACAACACTGGTATTCTAGACCTGCACACTATTGTGTTATAAATATACCATCTCAATATCCCATTTATTTCAATAGTAGGGATTCATAATCCACAAAAGGTGTAAGGCTCTTAATTCAGTCTGTATTTACTATTCGTCTTATAATGAGCCAGGATTTTGTGAAATTCTTAAGTCAGCTTTAGCAATAGTTTCCTATTTTAAGTTGGATCTTTAGGCTCCTTGTTAGCGGCAGCCTGTCACAAAGAGACGTCGTTTGTTCATCAGGTGCATTTCAAGTTGCAAGCCCGACAATATCAATTATAAAAACATAAATTCAGGTTTACGAACAAAGAAATCCCGGGATAGTCTGAAGTCATGGAAAAGAGCCATAAAAACTAGCATCAAAATGTTGAAGACATGCTGAACAAATGCTGGCCACGAATATCATCAGATTCAAGCATGAACTCAGACGTGCACAACACAAACACACTGAAAACCGGAAATGTTGGCTGGTGGCCCACTGAATAAGTTGGCTTTGTAACATATCTTTTGTTCTATTTTTAGGATCCCATTTACAACATGAAATATATAAAGTTTAAAATCTTGTTTGCTAGTATTACATTACTACATAGCGATGTGCACAAGCACCTGGGGAGGTCTACAACTGAATGTGAACATCATGAGGAGATAAAGAAAGACATGGAGGTTTGGGAGGGGCCCTGACTGAAGTCCCAGAAACGGAGGCGAGAACAGTGCTTGCACCAGGGAAGTAGAACATCAATTAAGGGCAGCATGTCCTAGATGGAACGCTGACGTTCCCACAACGCATCACCATCCTTTACTTTCTTTCTCTGTCTTCCCCTTACACACACACACACACGCACGCACGCACGCACGCACGCACGCACGCACGCACGCACGCACGCA